ATTCTTCACTAAAATAATATTACACGTAAATAAAAAATTTCTCCTTATTCTTCAATCACACATTTTTTCAAAAAAATAATTATTTCAAAATTCATTTTTGACATAAAATGGGACTCGAACAAGGGCTAAATTACATGTTCATTTAAATACAAAAAAATTATGATTAATTTAATAGAACATATGATATGCTAACACTTAGATTCATGTTCATCTCCACTAGTGCACATTGGCATTAATCAAATTGTCCCAGCTATGTATTTGCCAATTACTCTTTCTTTTTTTCTTTCTTCTTTCTGTATTTTTTTTTTTTTTTTTCTTTTTTTTTTCTTTTTTTTTTTTTTTTTTTTTTATCCAGCTTTTGTGTCCCTACTCCCTACATGTATTTAAAAAAGCTTACGGAATAATGGTGAATTAAATTTAGTTTTAATAAGTTGTTATAGTCGAATAGTTTAAACTCCAAAGAAATTGTTATTGTTTTTATATTTTTTCACATTTAAAATACGATCCTTAATTGATTAACTTGTTAAATAAAGGGAAAGATTAATCAAGAGCCCCGACGATTTATTGATAAAACAAGAGTAATGTACCAAAATATGGATTTATTTATTCTGATTGGATTAATGAAAAGTAACAATAAAATTCGATATTTGTACAAATTAAATAGAAATATGTTATTAATTAACTATTTTATCATTTTGAGAAAAAAGTCAATTTATACTTTTTGATTTTTCTTGAATGTTGACTTTCTGATACTACAACCCTAAACGTGCAGAACACAGCACCTTCATTACTTCAGCGTCGGGCTTCAATATCTATTTTGATTGCACCAAGTACAAGAAAAGATCTCGTGAGAGTTAGTCCCTATTTGGTGGTCTTTAATTTAACTTAATTTTTATTTCATACTCATTTTTAATCATACATTCGTACAATAAAATATTCTACACATAATTCAAAACTTTTCTCTACATTTTAATCATACATTCTCCCAAAAATACCATTTGAAATATAGTTTTTTCAAATTAAACTCCGTCAAAGAAGGGCTTAGCATGAGTCCACATGCATCGTGTTCTTCAAAACGAACCTATAGGATGAAAGGAACTTAACTAAGGATATTTGACAAAGAGCAAACAGAGTCCGAGGACCGAAAGAGATAACTTCAAGAGTTTCTTTGACAGAATAGTAAGGTTGGATGGATGAAGCAGATCATTATTAAAATGGTTAAGAATACGTGTATTGCACATAATTTTATAATAATATTTTTTCTGCGTTGTTGACATTCGTAATCGCCAAGAACATGTATGGGATGGTTTTTGTATTTGCTTTGAAAAACAATCATTCCGTCAAATTACATTTTATTGAATTTCGTATGATTCACGAGTACTATTCACACCATTCTTTTTTTTTTATATAGAGTTTATTCGATTGTTGTTATATGCTTTATCAACCCAGTCCTTTTAAAGCAACACTCATGCCACTTGGATTAAGAAATTACATAAAACTTATCTTAATTAGCAATCATCCAATTGCTCTAAAACTTAAGAAAACAATTGAGTAATAAATAAGATTGATCATGGAATTTTAAAAAAAGCAATGCAACAATGAACAAGATTGATTATAGTGTTGAAAATATGATTTGATTGATGACCTAAGGACCCCGTCTTCAATTGAGATTGTCATGGATTTTAAAAATCCTTTGAATTTAGGTGTTATCCTCAATAACTAGTAGATTTATAAAGATTTCTTTAATAAAGGGATTTTAAAAGATTTGAACGGATTTCAAGCTCAAAATACATATAATTGATTTTTTTGAAATTTCACCATATTTGAATTTTCTTAATGTGAAGAGATGAATTTGAAATTGGATTTTCTATTAATCAGCAAACTTTTTTTTCTTCTTCTTATCAATTTGAGCAGCCAGGCTGCGAATTATTCAATTCACTAGCAAATCTTGGGATTCTAAGTGAAGGTTTGCAAAGGTTTTTTGTTAATTGTTTTTTGGTGAACTGTGAAAAAAAATGCATTGGGAAAGATTAGAAGTGGTGGCTAGTGGTAGCGATGGCTCTGGTGGTTATCGAAAGAAGCAGTGTTGGAGGATTGGATCGATCTATAGGGACTTGGAGGTGTAGAGCCGAAGATATTCCTGGAAATCTCTCTGGAAAGACAGGATATTGAGTACAAACATTTATTTGAGAAGATAAATATGAGGAAACTCGATCAGTTCTCCAACACTACTTCTTTTGATCACCACCAAAGCCACTGATACCACTAGTCATCACTTCCATTCTTTTCCAATTAACAACTATTTTGAATGAAATATGTCCAAAAGGATCAATTGCGCATATAGATTTTGGACATTAATGTCAAAACTTAAAGGTTTGGGACCAATAATGCAATATGGCAAACGTTTGACACCATTTGAGCGAATTTATCAAAAAGCTACAAAATTAATTTAAATTCAATTTTTTTTAATCTAGTAAAAAAACATTATTTTCAATGTTATTTCAACGATTTTCAATGTCTCAGGGTTGAATTAAAATCTTCCGTAGCTTAAATATGTAGTAGTGTCGTAGCGTATGTACAAGTTGTCTTCGGCGCTTCACTCCAATAATTGACAAGCAAGCAGCCCACTAAGGATTCTCGTGTGTGTTAGAGGGCCATATATGAAGATCCATGATTGTATTCCCATTTTCTTGTCATCTGTTGATAAATGAAAGGGAAAAATTCATAAATCCTAGCACAAGTATAGGAGATTTCAAAACTAAGATGACAAGTTTGAATGTGCAAAAATCAGAAATATAAAACAATCAAAGAGGATTTCATTACAATTAATCCCTAAAATCAAGCAATAAGTTTCCATCCGAGGGCGAGGGGGAGAGAGAGAGAGAGAGGATTTCGTTGCAATTAATCCCTAAAATCAAGCAATTAGGGTGTGTTTGATTACGTTTATTTTCCATGAAAAATATCAGTTTTTCACCCAAATACTTATTTAGAGTGTTTGATTGTTATTTTTTTTTCATGGAAAACATTTTCCAACTTTTGAAAATATGCCTAATTTTCCTTATTTTTAAGGAAAATTTTTTCCTTGGTAGAGGTAATTTTTATTTTCCACAAAAGATGCAAAACATTTTCATTTCTAGGTAATATTTTCCATGTCAATCAAACACACTCTTAGTTTCCATTCGTGACAAACTCCCTAAAATTTATGATTTAATTTATTTAATAAAATTTATGTATGATTTAATTAATTAATTAATTATATACTTTATTAATTAAATATATTGTGATCACAAATCTATACAATTTGATCACAGATTCACAATTTAATTAATCACATATTATTTTTTAGTCAAAAATTATAATTTTTAAATGCCACAAATTATTTTACGATCACAATTCAAAAATTTTATAGGCCACAAATTGTTCAATGGTCATAGATCAAAACGTAATCCCTCACAATTTTATGTATTGGTCACACAAAAATATTATAGGTCACAAATTAATATATTTTTAGGTCACGTTAGTCACGATTCATCATTTTCATCGGTCACATATTGTTTATTGGTCATAGATTAACCAATTTAATGGTCACAATCAATCAAATAATCTGTGACCACCACTACAACAAGCACAACACCACCGGCCACCCCTCATCATTGCACCACATTCACAAACCGCCACCACATTAACAAAGACCAATCACCAAAAATAGTGAAAAACAAGCCACTTCCTCCTCTTCATGCAACACGACCTTCTAGCCTGTACTCGCCTCTCCAACAACTTGCACATCAGACACTCCAGGATACGTAACTTCTTCGGTTGGAATTGTTCCTATGTCCAAATCACCAAAATCATTTATTATCTCACTACCCTTCCTGAGTTTCTGCAAAGGATTCTGAAAAGTAAAATCATTATCTATCACAAGAACAGAAGGCTCATTTCCATCGTTGTTTCCAGTATCTCTAATTTCCTTCCCAATAACAATCTATGTCTGACCATCAGTGTCAACAGATGGGTCCTCAGAAACTGCTCGACTTCCTCCATTTGATTCCTCATCCAATTTTTTATCACTATACTAAAGAAACCTAGCATGATTTTCAGAATCACCATTTTCTCCAACTTTATATTGGGCATTGAAGTCGGAATCGTTTTCTTACGCTGCCGAAGAGAGAGAGAGAAGACATGCGAGAGAAGAAAAGAGAAAATGAAGAGAAAATATAATTAATTGGAGAGGATAGGTGGAGAGAGAGAAACGGGTGAGAGAATAAGTTGGAGAGAGAAATTGATTAAACTAAGAAATTGGAGAGAGAAGATGGATGAGAGAATGAAATGTATATAATTAGTTTTTAATATTTAACTATAAAAAATCTGATTTTTGAAATGTTAAACTACTCTTCTTATTTTTGAACCCTAGATTTTAACTCTAGGATTTTGTGTAATTAAAAATGCATTTGACGAATCATCACAGCCTTAAAGTTAATTTAAGCCTACGGTGTCCATCTAATTTTATCAAAACAAACTTCCATACTACCATCATCACGTTCACAGTCACCACTACATTGCCACCACCTTAATCAGGGCTGTTCACCGGTAGACAAGGGGAGAAATCCCCACTGAAATCCACGAATTCAGAAACCCCCCTGATTCGTAGAAGGGGAGAAATCCCACTGATTCTGCAAATTACGGGGGAGAAAACCCCCTGAATCTGTGAATTGGAGATCCTTCTCTGTTTTGCCGGCGGTAGTGGCATTGCCGAGGTGGAGTGATGTGAAGTTAGCTGGGATGGAGGAGATTTGTTAGTTAGTTTTTATTTTTGATAATATAAATAAAATTAATCCATACCGTTAGATTATTGTAAATTAAAAGCTACGATAAATTTGTCACACACATTTGTTACGTCTATTGGTAGGTCCAATTTTCCCTATGTACATCCTTACTAAGATTAACGTCCCTTGAAACTTTGATGATCACTCACATGTACAAATACACGTAAATAGGCCGCATAGGAGCAACACAAATCAATTCAACTACAATACCAAACACCGTTGAAAGTAACAAAGTTTGTTAAATCCAAGCACACTACAACAAGATCGATTACCTCGGCCATTCTACTATATTCTACATAACCCAAGTACAAAATACATTACCTGTGTAGTGATTCTACCAACGGTATCATTTGCAGAGCACAATCATATCTTTTCGTCACTATCATAGTATTCTTCATCTTCGTAATATTCTTCCTCTTCCTCTTCCTCTTCCTCTTCCTCTTCCTCATCCTCATCCTCATCCTCATCCTCATCCTCATAATAGTAATCATCATCAATCTTATGGCCATTTAACAACAACCCACTCCCCTGTTGAATCCTTTTACCTATGGCTGTACCCTGAGAAATACGAAGTTACAAACATAGGAATGATGAAACGACAAGAAAGATGAATTTATGTTTAGATTCTACAGTATCTACAAGACCATATCATCCAAGTACACAAGAATGTTACTTTACCATTTTATGGCAACCTTCCTCAAACATCTCAAGAAATCCAGCGACCCAGCGATCAGTATTTTCGACCCACATATTGCGATGCATGCCAGCTGTCTTTGCCACTGTTTGAATCTGCAAATGAAGATTCAAACATGACATCTAGCAATGCATGAAAAAATTGATACTTAAGAATCGGAGTCAATATATTCAATACAAGAGATATACAAGACCAGTATGCCATGTGATGGCCTTTCTTCACTAAGTTAAATTGTGGAGCATAACCAAATATTTATGTTATCGATACTAACAAGAGGACTTTGACCTGCTGAAAGAAATCAAATGTAAGTATGATGACCATATCCAAATGTCCTGCACGTCTAAAGATATCTTAAAAATTGTAACCACTAACCAAAAGGAAGGCTTTGTGAAGCTTCTTATAATGAGCATCATCGAGAAACTTTCTGTTCAGATCCCGCACATCCAAAATCCCCTCCCCACTCCCCACCAAAAAAATAAGAGAAAAGAAAAGAACATAAACGGAGAACAATAACTTGAAGTCTGGTTGTCTTCAGTAGCAGAAGAGGGAAAACAATTTTAGTTTTGAATGTATCATCAGGGATGATTGTGACTATGGATCTTGAGATATGGGAATACATTAAGAGTTTTATTTATAGTTGTTTACATTATTGTAGCTTTGGGCCTTTATAGGTGGTGCAGCTACTCGTGCTTGAAGTTGGTTTGCCTGGTAGTGCTTGTTATAACAGTTGTAAATCCGAAGGTTGGTTTGACTATAGTAGTTTTGCAGGTTGAATAGATGGTGCTACATTTTAACCGACTTTAGGAGGAGTTTGGTGCTAGTATGGTGGTTGCGGTGGAGAAAATGGTCCTACTAGAGTTGTGAACTTCATTTGATTTAGTATTTTTCATAGTACTCTTTTCATCTCTTCAATTTTCCTTTTTGGGCGATACGAAGAAGCTTATTCACTTTTGTAAGGGCCAAATACAAACATGCTTAAAGTCTATGCAACCTAAAGCTTGCTTACTCAAGGAACTATCATCTAAGGTACTGGCAAGAGGGTAACATAAGAAAACATTCCTCAAAAAGAAACTTTACCTTCTCCCCCACTTTTTCTTGATGCTCTTTGACTTTCTCCTGTAGCTTCTTCAGTCTCATATTCACCCTTAGTCGCTTTTCCTGCCCCATCAAATAAAAGCTAAATATTCAGCTGCCTTACTGAAAACGAGTACCACACAAGGTTTCTCTTAACTAAACCCAGTCAACAAATCAGTTAATAAAATCTCCAGAAAAGCGACCAGCACTACAAGGATATCTTGAAAATATTATACCTTCACATAGCTAACATTAAGCTCCTTTCTTGAATATCCACGATCTAGATTACGCATTACATATTGGTTATAATCTTTCACAATCCTCATTATGATGTCTGATGTTGAAATTCCTTCAGTCCGTTTTGTCTCTTTAAATCTCCCAACGGCTTTGACCTACATTAAAATTATGTAACTTACTGTATCTAGATGTCAAAACAATTAACAAAAAAAACAGGTAGATCTTATTATACATAGGAAATTTTAACAAGCAAATGATTACAACAGAAGTACAAAGTAATAATTGCATGCTTACAAATTCATAAACATCCTTTCCAGCCCCACTAGCATCGGCATAACTGTACAATACTCATGTCAAGAATATAATGATTCCTTAAGATCAATGCTTGATTGTTAATAATGTAGAATATAAATTCGAGATAAAAGTTCAAAATAAAAGGTTCCATCCATAGCCAACAGTGACCAATCTCATATGTGAAGGGAATGTTCGATAAGAAATCCTTACGGAAGAGAATCATGAGCAACATAATCGATTTGGTGCTTGTCAAGGAACTCTTGATTTATCACCCACGGCGCATCAGTAACAACCTCATCAACCCACCTGTGAAAAGAAAAGAAAAGTACAATGTTTAATTTACCAACAAGCCAAATATACCATAATAAAGGAGCCAGATGGGCAATTATAAAAACAAATAAACTATGTAGCAAATCACCATCCATATAATAATATATGCTTAGGCATGCAGTAACATTACTTCATTTACGTAACCATAAAGCTTAGCCCTTTTTTGTTTCCCATTAAAATTTTAATACATTTTTCTCTCTTCTTTTCAACCACACATTCTTTAATAAAATACTATTAAACGTAAATAAAAAAATTTCTTTCTTATTTTAACCCCACATTCTCCCGAAAAATACTACTCCAAAATACATTTTACTCAAATTTCTCATTATAATGGTTGTCAAACAGGGGGCTTAATTGCATTAGCTAGCTCCAATTCCTCAGTTCAAATAGAAGCATCTAAATATGAACAAAAAGACATAAATTGGAGCATGTCAGGTAGAGAAACGCACTTGCAGTGGCGTAGAGATTCATAACGCTCAGATTCAGTCATAACAGTCTTGCCCTTGAACATGTGTGTAGTTTTATCACTGCAGCATCCCACCAGCAAGTATGTATTGGGAAACCTACATATATACATAGCATAATATACAAGAGTTACTCTATCTCCACCTTTCTTTTAACCATTTATAAACAAATAATGCAGAATTTCAAACAAATACATATTATTGACGAGAGTAGAGCTTATAAACATAGAGAAATCTTATTAAGGCATCCGAAGTAGTAAAATTCAACAGGACACATGCGAATCCAGAGCAGATCAAATTGCAATCCGTTTGTAAAACCAAATTCAGAATGGATTTTCAGTTAAGCCAGTAAAGGAATCTGAAAATGTCTCAGAATCCATTCAATATAAGAAATAACAGCACGTGTACAAATTATTCAACTTCTGCCAAAAGATTAACGGGGTATTAGTTCAATTTTAATTTGAAATGAATAAAAAGCAAGAATCAAACTCAAAGGCAGTCGCCGAAAAAGTAACGGTATATTTAAGCACGGTATGAATTAAATGCAAAAACTTACGACTTTTTGGCTTGTTCAAGGGAGCGAGCATGACCGAAATGGAAGAGATCGTAGATTCCATCAGCGTAAACGCGGACGGGACGATCGGTAGGGGGAGTAGATTCCCCGGACTTCGAATGGTTGGTAACGACGTCGTTTCTGTTATCGGCGATCTGCCTCTGCTTCTCTTCCGTGATAACACCGTTCTCCACCATCGTACCGTTGAGTTTCTCTTATCACTCTCCCTCTATGCCTTCTCTTCTCTTTTCAAGAAACGAACAGAAAAACGAATCTCTCCACAAGCTACCGACCCGACCCGATTCTTCCTACTTTTTCTTTTCTTTTATTATTCCTTTTGCAATTTTTATAATTATTTGGGTAATTTTCATTAGCGTCCATCATTTCGTAAGTGTGACACTCTTATCACCAACTTATCATTCTTATCACAAATTTTTTAAACATTTGATGATACCCATGCTCCCAGCAAACGAAATAATAATAATAATAATTATTATTATTATTATTATTATTGCAACGTTAAATTCATACGCGATCTCATTTTTTTGTCTGAATGAAGAGGTTTTTTTTTTTTTTTTTTATCCAAAACGATTTCATTACAAACGGAATGATAAATTCAACTTTAATGAAAAGTGAATAAGGTAAAATGGGTTACTGCTTATCCGAGGTATTGCGTTGTTTTTTTTTTCTTTTCTTTCTTTTTCCTTTTTTGTTTTACCAGCTCATGGTCTAAACGAGTTACGTATACATCCTAATACATGTTCCTCGACGTTGAGAACATCCGCAAAGAATAGGGACTTTTGAGTGCGTCTGGAATTGCCACAATGCACTCAAGTTGGGTTGATGCCCACTCGAGGTGTCCTCAAATTCAATAATTAGAGTCAAATCAAATGGCAACGACCTTCATGTTGTGAAGCCAGTGCCATTCCATGTCTTCCAAACTCTGAACCACATCTAGAAGCTCAATCAGAGATGCTACACTACCAGATTCATATGTACAGGCAAGTGAGTATGGAGTTATTTGTGTTATTTTTCAATTGGATGGGACCATCCCATTGTGAGTAATCTGTACAAATTCTGAAGGAATCAATCTGATAGAATAGCTTTTTCCAAGAGTCTTTTTGCCATCCTTTCAACTTAAGAGACTACGGTACTAGAACATTGCTACATAAACAAAGAGATAGAATATCCATTATTAAAATGCTAATGCTAATATAGTTTGCCAAAGAGAAAGGGACATGTTAATAATTTAATAGGTTAATTAGAAAAAAAGCAAGTCCAATCAATTGCTAATCTATTACAACTGCTACACATCATGCCTATAATAATAAATAAATAATTTGAAGAAAATGCTACAAAACTAGAATAAAGCCCATTGATCGGCCCGGTCCACCTGCTCCAGCCTGCATTTTCTTCAATATCCAGTGGGGAATTCGCATTTTCCATACTCTAAAAAGACAAGAACAAAGCATCTTCAGCTCAGCATCTCTATGGCCTCAAATCTTTTAGATAAATTTCTATAGCTTTTTTAATCAAAATTGAAAAGAGACAACATACTTTTTCTCCTTTTCAACATAAGAATATTCAACTTAGTTTGAGTACTAACAATAGACAAAATTAAAGTGTAAAACTAAAATTTAATCTCAGACTAATTTAACTCAAAAGAAAGGACTATGTCATTGGTTCACATTAATTCCCCCCCCCCCCCCCCCCCCCCCCCCCCCCCATTTACTTGGTCCCTATTTGTTTCTCGTTTTTTATCCATTAAAATAAAAAATTTAATCATTATACGCCACCATATTTGACCTTTTATCTCTTATGTGAGACCTGTAACAACTATATTTTTCATTCTCATTTCCATATTAATGTATACCAAATGGGACCTTACAAACAGAAAAGAATCAAAGTCCCCACGTAGTTGAATATCAGAAAAGTTCACGTGGTGTCCATTAACCCTTGTTCTTGTGGACCCCAGTCAGTCTTCCTTTACGGCAGCACATGTTAGCAATTCATCTCTGAGACTCCTAATATGCACCATGAACTTTGGTCCATTAATCCTTGTCCAAGATTCACACAAGGGTCAACACAATTGACACATTTATGTTTCCTAAGTTTGTCTTTTACCCATAATATTTTACTGAACAAATAAATAGGACTTACTGGGCTGCTGAGAAACAACGTAGGCGGCCCCACCAAAATAGCAAGTACCAATGCCACGTCCCTTCTTCTGATAGTAACTATTGAAAGCAAACGAAGCGTGCGACTCCAGAGTGTTAGGATCGAAACACGTGGACCCGGGCTGGATCGGATGGCAATCAGCGCCTCCTTCCCCACACGCATAATCTAGAGCCGCTTGTAGCTTATCCTTCCCCGCCTGTGCACTAGCCACGCACAATGTCTGCCCATTTGAGGGCCCTCTTGACACTCTCTGTTCACTGCCGGTCGCCGGCGAACGGTGGTCTCTGTAACTTTTAAGACCCTCCACCGTGAACGGAATGTTGTAAACCTTCTTTTCGTTTGGGTAAAAGAGGCCGAAATTTCGTTCAGATGTGGGTCCGAATTTCTTGTTCTCGTTGAAGAGAGCGAAGAGGTAGACAGTGATATCTTCGTGCGGCCTGAGGGGAGTCCCGCCTCCGGTGAGGACTCGCCGGACCAAGTTTCCATTGTACGCGGCGGCGTTTTCGATACTTGCTCCGACCTCATTTGAATCTCCTTTAGAAGGCCAGCCGGTTTCTGTTACAGTGATCTTGACGTCATCATATTTCAACGCCGACATTGCAGCAAAAACGGCGTCGATCTGTGCATCGAAAAGCGAGAAGTAGCGCAAACCGTTCCCGGCATCAACCACCCCAGGATTCTCCCGGAAGAGTGCGTAATCCAAAGAAATTACATTAGCATTTGACTCGTAGGCAAAGAATGGGTAGATATTCACCATAACAGATGAGCCGGTTTGTCTGAGGAATTCAAGCATGGGTTTAAAAACGGGTTCGATCAAATCGGGCCGGAAGGACCCGGCTGAGGAAGGATAAGAATTCTGCAATGCACTAAGAGCAACCGGAGAAGAGACCTTAATGGTGTCATCGAGTTTGTACTTGACCAAAGCTTGATGTATATTCTTCATGGCGGAGATGAGAAACCGGGTTGTGTTGTGTGTGTCAACGAACACTTCGTTGCCAATGGCGATAGCTTCAATGGCAGTCGAAGGGTAGTGGGATACCACATTGCGAAGAACCCAAGCATTGGCGAAAGAAGGGCGTTTGGCAGCATTGGAAAGTTGCTCATTTGGGAGATTGACAACGACTTTAATTGCAGACCCCGATAATGCCTTTAGAACTGCCGGATCTGTGTCGTACACCTTCACCCGCTCGATGCCCTGAGACTTCATGAGCCCGACAACCTTCACTGCTGACGGCAAATTGTTGGCTATTCTACCATAGTTCACACCGATCGAGCCTCCATCTGGAAAATGCACCACAAAGTGAATAATAATTTTTCATGCAACATAATTTCCTTGAAAAAAGGAAAAAGGGAGAGTAAAGTACCTGCAAAAGAGAAAATGTAGCAAAGGATTGGAAGTAGCAGAGAAATCTTGAGGAGTTCCATGCCCTGGATCTGCATTCTGCCTCTTTTTTGTGTGAGAACAAGGCAGTGGAGAGTAGAGGAAATAGTGGCCAATAGCCGGTTGACCCGGCCATTTTTTCAAAGTGGCCTTTGACCAATTAAAAAAAAAAAAAAAAGTTACCAAATAAAAAAAAAAAAAAAAAAGCAAAAATGTTTAAAATATTGAAAATCAAGAGAAATCCAAATTTACCCTTACTATTTAAAGAAGAAAGAGAAGGTAGTAAGGAAAGAGAAAAAATACTGTAGCACTGATAAAAAAGGGAAAATAAACGATCCATATTTAATGTTTTTATGTTGATATTTGGAAGAAAAAAAATATGATTTTGTATACATGTGTTGATTTTTTGAAAAATGCATGATTTTTGGGTAAGGATAATAGTTTGGGAGGAGGAAAATGGAGTGGAGATCGACGAAAATGGAGTTTTCCGGCGATCTCCACAAAGGAGACGGTTAGCCCAGCTGACTGGGCCGTTTAGACATGCCCATTTGACCCAGACGGCCCAGTTGACTGGGCCGACTGGGCCGTCTGGGCGCCAGTTGACTGGGCCGTCTGGGCCAGTCAACTATGCCCAGACAACCCAGTCAACTGGGTCGCCTGGGTGCCAGGCGGCCCAGGCGCCCAGTTGACTGGGTCGCCTGGGCGCCAGACGGCCCAGTTTTCTGGGCTGACAATTTTCTAGGCCCAATTTTTTTTTTAAAATTACTTATTTATTTATTTCCTTTAATTTTTGAAGTTAACGATTTATTTTAATTGTTTATATTGTGTTGTCTAATATTTAATTATTATTTGAATTGTTTAATTTTAATGTATATTATGTACTTAAAATTATTTCTTTGAAATGCTTAATATAAATGTTTTATTATTTATCTAAATATTTATTATTTGCCAATTTAGTTTTAATTACTTATTTTATGTTAAGTAATAGTAAAAAAAATTAAAAGAAATAATTAAATATTAAATAAGTAATATACATAAAGAACTTAAATAAATATTTAAACATCTGTAAAATAATAAATAAGCAATTAAATTAGAAAATTAAATTATCAATGAAATTAAATTTCTGTAAAGCAATTAAAATAAAATATTAAATATTAAATCTATTTTGGTGATAGGCAAATTTTTTTTGGTTAAAGTGAAAAATTGGCCCTTTGACTTGGCCAAACTAAAAATTACCCCGTGGAGAGTAGAAGTAGAGCGGACGAATGAATGTTGAGGGGATCGAGGTTTTGGAAGTAGGGACTACATATATAAGTGATTTATTGGCATCCACACAACGTAAACTTTTTCTATTTTCACACTGTACTTACTTTTAATTCATGTATCATTCATAACTTTGTTTTTATTTATTTGTAATTAATATTAAACAACTCCCATAAATAATTAATTCACATCAGTAGTGATGAGCATGGTTATAATCTCCACCGACCACCATGACCATTAGATCAAAGCTGGAATTCACATCCTACATCATGAAGAAGTGCTATAATAACCAAAATAATGCCGCTTGAGTTTGGCTTAAAAGTTTGCAAAAAATTTGAATTCACCAATTAATTCCAATATATATTTATAAGATTAACAACTTTTATTAACCTTTTTAATCACATATTTCAATAAATTTAAATGTCCGATCTTTTGTTGCGCCAAACAAGAGCAATTAGTGTATTTGGAGCTAACTTATCATTTCATGTCTACTGAAAAAAAAAAATCTTAAGAAACAAAAAGAACAAGCTACGAAAATAATGTCTCAATGATCACAAACAACTGCTCTTGCCCTAAAAATACGTTGCGCCTCATGAATAGTTCAATTTCAAAGCATCTTCTTACAATTTTAGGCTACTTCGCTAAAGTTCCATCTTAAAAGATTTCTTGGTTAGATAATTGAGTGCTTGTTTGATAAAAACTTTGCTACAAATGGTGTAACCATGTTATGATTTTGATTTTTAAAATTTATTCTCAATAACGTATTTTATAGGACTCTTGAATTTTATTTATTTTTTTAACTATATGTTTCATCATTTTTAATCAAAATTTACTAAAATCATATTTTGAACTAAACCAAAACAAAGGCTTAATGAGAGTCTAAGTTTATGTTTGAGCCCCTTTATGCGGTATAATAACGATTTTTTGAAAATATATAGTTAAAAGGTAGAAAAACTTTGAATTTAGTGTAAAATTATTTCATTGAAATTTTTTTTATTTAAAATAAATTTATAAAAAATGAGGCGAACTAAATAGCTTTTCATATTGGAGTGGTTAGTTTTGTTACATTTTTTTAACCAAAGATGTGATGACCACTTGCGGATTTTTCTACAATCTTTTATTAAACCATGTGGGCCCTGCTATTTGCATCACTCGACCGTTTGTACAGTATTTATTTGGTGAGTAATTGATGAAAGATTATTACTTTCATCATTTAAATAATAGAGAAATGCTATCGTGTAGTGGCGTTCATTGTGGCTCTATTTGTACGAACCAAGTTGATGGATGACATCTGTTCCATATCTGATTCCCAATATAAGAAAAGGTGAAATTTGTAAGAATAATCCTCCCAACGGAATAAATTAGTTCAAGTCAAACAACCCCAATCTCGAGTCGAACGTTAATGTACAACAGACAGAACTCAACGCATAGAATAGTGAGTAATTTTTTTAGAATAATGCTGGTCAATCCACGATCAAATTTACAATAATGCTGTTCAACTCGGGATTTTGGAGTCAGGGGTCGAGGTGGCAAAACCTCAGCCCTCCCATGTGAATCGCGTAGGCCCCACGTGATTGAAGATCAAGGGTCAAGGTGTTGCCACCTCAGCCCTAGATTAAAACCCGGAATTTAATCCCGGGTTTTGAAGCACCATTGTATTTTTTAATAATAAGCAATAAACCGTCCTTTTGTTTTAATATATTTTTTATCTTATAAATAAAAAACGAACACAAAGAGAGAAAAATATCACCAAAAAAAAAAAGATGAGAATAAATTACAAGCTTTTATGTAATCTTCTTCTTTGTTTTTATATTTGATTATGAGTATTGAGGGGAAAACAGGGCACGAAACGAGCATTTTCAAATTCTAATTTGTCTTCGATTTCAAAAATGTATAGCGGAACAAGGGATTGAAAGTGTGTTTTCATTCTCGATATCCCTTATTATAATGATACTTAATGCCAAATTTAAACGGACCAAACAACCGAAAATGAAACATAATATAGAAATATGAAATGAGGTTGGATGACTTTACCTTTTCCAAGTGGAGTGGCCAAATTGAAGCAGGCACTAATGAAGTTCCAAATTCAATATAGTCATGTACAATATTATTGATCTCTTCTCAAGAGAATATTGAAAGGTTAGAAGTCAAAAACGGTGGTTGAATTTAAAGTTAAGAAATTTGTACAAATAATGTAGACCAATTATATTATCTCCTTTATTTGTGATTCATACATGTGATTATGCACGCGTTGTTATGAACTTCAGATTCTTGTATTTTTAATATTTTTTTATTATACACTTCTACATATTAATATATCTAGTTTAATATCTGATGACGGCGTTATAATTTTTAATTTGGTGTTTTCTCGACGATTTGAAATTCCATTAGTATACAGAGTACAAGTCGCTTTCGACATAGAATACGGTGTATCAAATTGTGTAACGAAAAACATACAAAACAATATAATAGATAAAAAGTTTGTACTTATAGATATTGACAAAATAACAATTATTGTTAACCAAGGAAAACAATTCATGGTAAAGATAGCTTACACTTGGACCAGAAAAAACCCGTGCTCAAAATATTTTGAGTTGATTTTGAGCAAGGGTAATCCATCATGCAATGTTATCGATGACATTGTCAATGAAACATCTCAAGAAATTGTAAGACGACCCACCTTCCATCGAAGTCATTCTACTCTTGTTCTTCAATTGTTTCATCTTAGTCCTCATTTCACTCTCAGGCTCCATTAGGCGCCTGATTCCCTTCTCTATTTCTTCAGCCTTCACAATAAGATCACTGCCTCTCCAATAGTCCATCTTAATCTCCACAGCAATTCCCAAGTCCTTCACCAACTCGAACGCATTAGCATGTTGCTCGGCATACATTGGCCATGCTACTATTGGCACTCCACACCAAACACTTTCCAAAGTCGAGTTCCACCCACAATGCGACACGAAGCCTCCCACAGAAGGGTGAGATAAAATGGCTACTTGTGGTGCCCATCCTATCACCTTCCCGAATCCTGCAGTGCATTGCAAGAACCCTTTTGGCAATACTTCTTCAGGATTTTCGTATTCTGATGGATCCTCGATACTATCTTTAGGAGGAGGCTTTCTCAACGACCACAAGAACCGGTGGCCACACTATTCAAGTGCAATCGCAATCTCTTTAATCTAGTCTCCATCAAAATATCCCATACTTCCAAAGCAAAGAAAAACAACAAACGAAACAGGTTGTTCGTCAAAACACTCCATGATCTCTTCACAATCTTTGTTGTCATCACTTTTCACCTTAACATGAAGTATCGGGCCTATTGGGTAGACCGGCGGGATCTTATCATCATCAGAGAGGGACTTCAATGCATATGCTTCTAAATCCAAGAAGGTGTTTATTGGAATTCCCTTGGTCTCTCTAAACCTTCTTGCCATGCTGAGGAGCATAGTTAAACCATCCTCATCAAAAAATCTAGATGGAAACACTTTACCAGGAATCGGATTTATATACATTGGAACCAATAACTCAGCATCCGAGTTCTTGTACTCTGTCACGTCCAGGTTCTATTCGTCGCTGAGACTTTGCATATGGAAGTTGAGCCCAAGCCTTCGCTGCACTAGTTGTATTGAAGACATAAATCGGGACCCCAAACTCATTAGCTATATCGATCATGGTTGTGCAAAACATATCAATAACAAATCCAGCTAGTCTAATAGACTCATCACGGACCATTTTCGCAATAGCATCTGTTGACCCCAAAAAATGTTCTCAACAGATGCCGAACCCACCCACGTACACGTGAGCGAAGGTCCTATACGCTAAGACAAGTGGACGGTCTAGGACGAACGAATCAGGGGCGTGGGAGTAGCTCAACAACGCGGGACGAGAACGTTCGAAATTCAACGGGATGTTCTTAATTCGATTGTACAATAATTACCAATTGGTGCTCATGAATGTGCATGTAAATATGTATGAACTCGTATTGTGTTGTAAGATAATATGAAAGAGAGAGTAAAGTGTGGTTTCTTGTATTGATACTTGCATTCGCCCTTTAATGTTACACAAGGGAAGTATTTATAGTGGTACATGTGAAATGACAGCCCTTGAATGAGGTGGCACGTGGCCTCATCTCTTTAATCCAAACATCCAATCCTAGGCATCATCCTTGACTTGCTAGCTTGCTCCGTATTTATTGCTTATGCAGAACCCACATGCTAATAACAAGACTTGACATGTGCACTTATAACAAACGTTCCATCAATCATTCAAACAAAATTCTTATGTAGAAGATCTCTTGGGAGAAGTGATCATGGAAGATGTTCCTTCATGGTTCAGAGGCTTCTGCTTCGGCTTCGAATTCTAGTACTTCCACTTTAGGGCTTTGGCTATCTTCACAGGCCTCGATACATAGATTTTGGCTACTTGCACAGGCCTCGGTATATGGGCCTTGACATGAAGGGCCTCGCCATACATTCCACCTCGACTAGAGTGCCACATGGTTCAGATTGAGTGGGCCATAGGCCCAAGTAGGTTGGCCAAGTATGACAACACGTAACAATAGTCTCCCAAGTTCAAGTATAATCATTTATGTAATGCGTGGACTTTAATGAAGTAAAGCCAGTGAGTTGGGTAAAAATTGAAAGAATTTTTGAACTCCCCAAATAATTGTCCCCCAAGTCCAAGTATATATATTTATATCATAGTTGAAGTTAGAAATGTGCTGTTGTAGGTGAATGATGAAGAAGCCAACGTGGTAGAATGAACTGAATGTGCGAGGCTTGTGAAAACTGAAAGATGAAGATGAGCCGAGGTTGTTGGGAAACCGAACCTGCGAGACTTGATGGCTGAATGTTAAAGATGAAGTCAAGGTGGTTAGGAAAATTGAACCTATGAGGCTTGATGGCTGAATGTTGAAGATGAAGCTGAGGTGTTGGAAAATCGAACCTGCGAAGCTTGATGGCTGAATGTTGAAGATAAAGCCGAGGAGGTTGGAAAAATCAAACCTGCGAGGCTTGATGGCTGAATGTTGAAGATGAAGCCGAAGTGGTTGGGAAACCGAACCTACAAGGATTAATGGCTGAATGTTGAAGATGAAGCTGAGGTGGTTGGAAAATCGAACCTGCGAGGCTCGATGGCTGAATGTTGAAGATGAAGCTGGGGTTCATTGACAATAATTGTTCCTTGGTAATTGTGCTAATGATTTGATGTTTTACGCATGTTTTCGAGGAAAGGTGGCTGAACCGTACATAACTTCCGAGACGCCTGCTGCCGTCGAATTAAAATCGTAATTATTAGAACAGCTGGAGCTTCTAGAAGCAGATGCGTTGGCTGAGGTGCGTGGGAGACACGCTTAAATCTGAGGCGTAGGTTTGAAAAATTGTTTGAATTCTATGTCTAGGATTTGATTTAAAATGAAGGGTCCAGACTGAATGAGCTTCGATCTGACGGTGGGGGTTCGACCTGACCCTTTATAAAAGGTGAGAGAACTCCATTTTTCTGGATTTTTTAGTACTTGCCTTTTAATTCCTCTCTTAGAGCTTAAACTTTCCGGCGTTGAAGCTGTCTGTTCACTGCTTTTCCGACACTTTCTATTTGCGTAGTTTTTCAGTAGGTACTTTTCATAGAAAATCCTCCTTTTATTGCGTTCTTAGACATTTATGAGATGGAGTCCACTTCGAGTAGGGAGTTGGTTACTGTAGCGTCATTGGGCCATGGGGTCAGTCACAGGGGGGAATCCGAGGTGGATAGGTATGCTATGACTGAGGAACCAGTAGACTATAGCGAGGAGTGGGGGGCATTTAGGGTGCCTTCAAATATGACATGGAAGAGCCTGGGGGAGATTAGGGAGAGGTACTGTGTGCCTCACTATGTAGAAATGTTAGTTCCCGAAACCCATGAACGAGCCTATTATCCGAGGTCCGGTTGTGTGGCGGTGAGTGAATACCTATTTAAGGCAGGTATGCGTCTTCCTCTGCACCCCTTCTTTAGGGCGGTGCTGAGGAACTTCATGTTGTCGCCGACCCAAGTTCTGCCAAACGGGTGGAGCCAGTTGGTCGGCTCGTACTTCCTGTGGAAGGAAGTATCACTTGGGGAGGACATGCCTCTCCACGTCTTCATGACCCTATTCCAGCCTAGGGTAATAGGGAAGGAGTCGAGTGGGTGGTATTACCTAACTCTTTAGGGGGCTCATGCCCCATTTTGGTGGGACTGTCTTTTTCCATCAAGGGGTGGAAGGAGTCGTGGTTCTGGGTGCGAGGCAGGTAGCAGGTAGTGGAAGCGGACAAAGCCCTGGCTTGCACAGTACCGACCCAGTACTACGAAGCTCGTGAGTCTCTCAGCCCAAGTTTGTAATCTGTATTAAAAATTTTATTTTTCTAATTGTTGAGGCGTCCTTTGCAGATAGTAGTACTAGGTTCGAGCTAAGCAAGGAGGAGTTTGAAGTGATAGAGGACATTTACAAGAGACCTCTGAAGTTTCGCCACTTCGACCATCTCATCGACAGAAATTACTATTTCCTCGATTTTGAACTAATAGCCTCCAAGGGTACGAAGCTCCCACACTTGTATATTTTTGTGTTTTCGTTTTGCTACTAACGCACTGTGTTCTGCAAACAAGTTTAAGAGGAAGGAGTACCCAGCTCCTGACATGGCGTCCATACTTAAGGCAACCTCTACTGTGAAGGCAAAGCCCCTGAAGCTGGGGTCAAGTGGTGCTGAGGAGGTCCGTGGTATAGTTGAACGTCTCTCCAAGGACAGCACATCGTGGGCTTCCAAAGAGGGAACCCTCCAATGGCCAGAAAAGTCCAAGAAGCATCGGGGGACGGAGAAAGTCCCTGAAGAGCCAAAGAAGAGGAAACGGGTACACGTCTCCAGATCGTTTGGCAAGTTTGGGAATTTTGTGTCCCATGAAGGCAAAGAAGTTGGGCAGCCAAAGCTACTGAAAGCCGCCTCGAAAGCGATTAAGATTGAAATGGTTAGGCGCGCCGAGGCTGAAGAGGCGAGGAAAGAGGCTGCAAGGAGGCAAGCTGAGGTGGTCGAAGAGGAGGCTGCCAAAAAGAGGCCTAGCCTCTGGCCCAGCTTTGGTGGAGGCCCTGCTACCCGAGATCCGAGGCGCTACTGAAAGTTTTTATAAATTTTGGACGGATCGGTAGTAATTGCACGCCTCCGCCTGTGATGCCACGGACTTGACGAGGTCTCTTGTGAGCCAAAGTGTTAGGACTTTTGGCCTCGCACTGGAGTGCAGGAAGGCCTTCACTGACTTTCAGACGAGGACCCAGTCTTCGAAGAGGAAGACGACCTCCCTTGCAGAGGAGTTGAAGGTAGCTAGAGCCGAAGCTGAGGAAGCTAGGGCCCAAAAACTTAAAGAATTGGCCAAGCTGGAGTCTGCCTTGGCTCAGATAGAGGCATTGAAGAAGGAGGTACATGAGTCCCAGTATGAGGTTGCCTCCTTGACTAAGAAGGTAGAGGTTTCCAATGACCACCAGAAGGTAACTGCCGAAGCCTTGGAGAAGGCAAATTCTGCATTGGTATCAGCCCAAGATGCGTACCAGTTCTTGGAAGGCCAAATTAAATGGTATGTAGATGATGCAACCAAGGCAAGGGAGGAGGCCCAAGAGGCAAGGAAAGAAGCGGTGAAGGACTACATCGCCAACTTTTATAACACCGAGGAGTACAAGCTCGTCAGCACATACTGGAGGAACTTTGCTTATGCCGAGGTGATGGAGCGGGCTGAGGAGTTGTATCCCAATCAGGATCCGTCACAACTCAGGTCAGAGTTTGTGGACGAAGTGCCTCAAACCCCAGTTGATGAAATGGTGGGAGATGAAATAGCAGAGGCAGAAGAAGCAAATTTTGATGCTCAAGCTGCGGAAGTCCCAGCTGCTGAGGCACCTCTATCATCTTTCCAGGCTTAGGATAGTTTTCTTTTCAGTTATCCATGATGTACTGACCTCAAGCCCCCCTTTTGTAATCTCAGTTGAAAATCAATCTAATCTCTTTTTCATTCAATGTTGTTTCTTTCTCTTAAGTGTGTTGGCCTTGTTAAGTAATTAAACGTAATGTTGATTGAAGAACTAAATAACTTTAACTGGGTATCCTAACTCCAATCACTTGAACAAATTAATTGTATGCAAGCCTCACAAGTTATGACCAATATGGGACTTAAGCAAATGAATTGTAATTAAGCTTAATAATTGTAACCTGAAGGGATCCTAAGAATGGACCATGTTGCAGCCGAACTGGGAATATTACTCTGATCCAAGTGTATGAGCCTCGGAGTTCAAGCGAGGTAACCCAGAGATGGGATGCTGGCCTCTCCTTCGAGGTGACGATGCTTCCCAACATGGTGGATGGTGCAGCCATGTTGAGGCTTCTCCCCTTGGCGTTCAACCTCGCCAAAGGGAGGCAAGTGCATGCGCCTCGGAGTTCAGGCGAGGTGGCCCAAAGATGGGACACTGGCCTCTCCTCCGAGGTGACGACGCTTCCCAACATGGTGGATGGTGCAATCATGTTGA